ATTCTTCCAGTGCCTATATCAATATAGACACTAGAAGAATAGCTTTTGCACGGTTTTGCGCGGTTTGCCCACGCCAGCCCCCGCTCATTTGATTGGTTCGCCCAACCCGTTGGTTTCCCGAGCACCCCAAACCCAAGGAGCTGAGCAGGCTCCGGGAATTCCCCCCCAGCCTGCGCAATGCCTCGAAACCGTTTTTTCTAGTGTTTTCGCTCGTCAAAAAAATCATTTTCAAATTAGTCGAGGGTCCTGGGCCTCGGAGGCGCCAGGAAGTCGTCCAGCTGCCTCACAGCCGCCGGCCTGCCCCGTCTCGTCAGCCGGCCCGCCGCGTTGCCGCTGCCCTGCGGCGCCGGCAGCACCAGCTTCAGCAGGGTCTCCCGGCCCTCCGTGCTGCGGACGGTCATGGAGTCCACGGCCCCCAGCTGCTGCACGTCGCCGTACTGAGGGTTGAAGCTCCTCGCCGCGTTCGTCGGCGCTCGGACGGCGCCCGCGTCCTGCACCGCCTTCACGCGCCGCTCGGTGAGGTCCTTGTTGTGCTGGAACTTGTCGGCGTTGTCTTGGAGGACCCTAAACTCCGTGGCCGGCTGCTTCTCCACGTCCTCGGGCGCGCCGTGCACCGTCTCGTGGGGCCGCGCGTTGTAGGCCCCGGCCGCCCGCTCGAAGTGGTCGCTCCACTGCCCGCCCTTGCGCGCCACCCTCGTGGCCAGGTCTTTCTTCAGCGTCTGGATGCCCCGGTCCACCACGGCAATGGCGTTGCGGTCCTCGGGCCGCTTCGTGCGGTGCACGGCATTTTCGGGCAGCTCCCGGTCCAGCGTGGCGAACTCGTTGCCCAGGTCCGTCGTGACCACGAAGTTCCCGTCGTCCCCAGTCAGCTCCCGCGCGGCGCGCTTGGTGGCGCGGCCCACCGTCTCGGCGTTCTTGTTCTGCAGAGGTTCCACGGCGGCCTCCCGGGTGAAGACGTCCATCACCACCAGGCCGTACTTCGTCTTCCCCCGCGTGTTCTGGCTGAAGTCGATTAGGTCGGCCTGCAGCCGGTCGTTCGGCCCCTCGGCGGCCGACTTGCCCAGCGCGCGCGGCCGGGGCGCCTGCACCTGCCGGCCCACGTCGGCCTTCAGCGCCTCGAAGGCCATGGCCTGCATCACGTCGAGGTCGCGCTGCCTCGCAAGTCGGTACAGCTTCCGCGGGTCCCGCGCGTTGAAGTCGTCGGCCAGGTCCCTCAGCGCCTCCATTTAAAAAACAGCTTTGTTGCCCCAAAAAGGAGCTTGAGCAAGGTTTCCCTGGACGCGGGGAGGCCTGCACACACCTACTTGTTGCCCCAAAAAGGAGCTTGAGCAAGGTTCCCTGGATGCAGGGAGGCCTGCTCACACAGCTACTCGTTCTTCGGCCCCCGCTGGGCCTGCCAGGCTTCCACCTCGTCCAGCCGGGCCTGGAAGCCCTTGCACACCCCCCACAGCACGCTGGTGAGGTGCGAGTAGTCGAGGGTGATCATCTCGGTCCCGTCGCTCCACCGAGCGGTGCCCGTCAAATTCTTCCACTTCGCTCCTGAGAAGTCATTGGAGGCGAAGCCCAGCCTCAGGTCGCCGTTCATGTCCGGGCGCTTGTACTGCTTGGCCTCCACGGAGTCGAAGAGCTGCTGGAGCTCCGCCACGTCGGCCTCCGCCATCTCCGTCTTCACCCGGGTGTCCGACAAATTCGTGAAGCTCGTGTTGCAGACCACGTTGCCCGTGTTGCCCGCGATCACGAGGCAGCCGGGGTTCCTCTGGTTCGTGGTCAGGGACAGCTGCGTGGAGAGGCTCTTCGTCTGCACCAGCGCCTCGTCGTTGATCATGATGAGCTCGCACTGGTGCGTCCCGCCGTCTCGCTCCAGGAAGACTCGTGCGGATTGGTTGCCCAGCAGCCGCAGCTCCGGGCCGCTGTCGGGGGCCGCGCTGTTGTTGGACACTTGCAGCTTGCTCCAGCCCGCCCAGTTCTTTGTCAGGAAGAGATCGTCCGAGAAGTCGGAGGTGTTGGTCACGGTGAGCGTGTTGGAGGCGAAGAGCTGCGGCGCGGAGACCGTGCCCGAGCTCGTCACATCGCCGCACACCACGCTGCCCGTCGACACTCCGCCGCTCGTGGCCGTGAAGGTGCAGTCCAGGCTCTCGCAGTCCAGCGGGCCCGTGGAGGCCGCACCGGTGATCGTCAGCGTGGCGCCCGTGAGCGCACCGGTGGCTGCGAAGCTCGCCGCCGTCGCTGCGCCCGAAGCCATCAATGTCCCCGTGGACACGTCGCCCACCGTGGTGAAGTTCCCAGCGTTGGCCGTGTTGTTGATGGTGAGTGTGCTGCCGGTGATTCCGGTGGCGGAGCTCAGCAGGCCCACGCTGGCCGCGCCGCTGATGCTCAGCGAGCTGCCTGACACGGCCCCCGTGGACGACAGCGTGGCTCCGGCGACGGTGCCGGTGGCTGTGAGCGCAGCGCAGGAGACTGCGCCCGAGGCGTCCACGCCCGTGGTGAACACGTCGGTGAAGTTCACGTCGTTGCACAGCAGCTGGTCGCAGCCCACGTTGCCCTGCGCGGTGAGCCCGTCCAGCGTGGCCGAGCCCGTGAGGGCCAGCGAGTCCGCCAGCAGGTACGTTACCGAGACAGACTCTCCCTCGAAGGCGCTGGCCCTGATCTGCATGCTGTACAGGTCCAGCGTGCCCGCCGACTGCTGCACCAGCCCGGGGATGGAGCCGCCGAAGGCTCCGAAGTGCAGCTTCGCGATTCCGCCCGGCGGCACGGAGA